GAAAAAAGTGTCACGTTTAGTCTCTTCGGCATATGATGGACAACAGGAACTCTTCTCTCAAAATGTGAACGCAAGAAGGGAATTAGTTATGAAGTGAGGCGGGAGCAGGACTGCATCTGAGAAATGTTTCTGTGTTATCTATGGCCATTTGGCAAATCACTACCAAACTTAAAGCATACATTTTCTATTTTGTTTCAGAGCCCTGATAGCATAATGATTATGCTCTCATTATGTTTTTGGCTTTTAACCAAAAGGTCAATGGTCTGAACATACCAGCCGTGTTAGGAAACGAAGTGACAATCTGCTTCCACAAATGATTTACAGATTTGGAACAATTGTGGGGCACTTCTACTCTGTCCTAAAGGGTTTCTATGAATTGAAATTTTATAACACTTTAATTTGATCAGCAGGGACAGCTTGGCTGTGCTCCACAAAGTAGTGATTGGGGCTGTTAGACCTTAAGTTTGGGGGATCTACTTCTATGAGAGCTCACGCAAACACTTTGAAAACAGGTGCCACATTTTAGCTAGAACACAGAAAGAATCCTTGTTTTTTTTTCCCACCTGGGTTCTGCTTGGGGCTGTGTGGGCTTCCTCCAAGGATGGTGGCTGGCAAACTGAAAGGCTGATGATTTAGTCACTTCTGTCACATTCTATGTACCTGAAAGTCATTAATCCTAGCCTCAATTTAAGAGAAGAAAGTAGATTCTACTTTGGAAGGAGAATTGCCGCACAGGTTTTGCAATTATCTTTTACTTTCTACATCCCAGGTCTAAGAAATCAATATCATGAAGAAATATGGGACTAAGTGCAATAGCCTATTCGGTGTGGCCATGAGCTCTTTAAGAAAGCTACTCAAAACCAGGTTATCCATCTGGAGTTTAGTCTTCATCTACATAACTCAGGTCACCTGGAATCAATGTTCTTTATCTTAGAGATATGGAAAATGAATCTTAGGAGGAGGGCAACTCACTAATGCTATCTGGTTATAAATAGACAGTGTTTCATACTTAAAACCCTCATATATGGCCATTTGGTGGCTGATGTGAATACAAGCTCAATTTTCGTTAAGAATAAAAGAAAACAAAAAGAATCACTTTAATATATATTGACTCTGCCTTTTAAGGCTGAATGCAGCCTTCCTTCTCTATGAAAGCGGGAATACAACTCACTCCTGGCAATAGCTTGCATTTTAGAGAGGTGCTGTGGACTATGGGATAAAAATTTGGGGTCTAGAATTGATCCATCCTGATTTCTAAACCAGTTTTTTTCTACTTAAAAAGTGGTAACTAACCCAGGACAAATGAACCCCCCTGGACCAGTGGAGAGAGTGGCAATGGCGGGAGGGTGGCGGGAAGGAGAGGGAGAAAGGGGGAACAGAGGACAAGGTCTACATGTGGCCTCCTCCCTGGGGCATGGACAGCGGAGAAGTGGGTGAGGGAGACATGGGATAAGATATGATAAAATAATAAATTATAAATTATCGGTGGTTCGGGGGTTCCAGGGGAGTGGGGAAGGAGGGGGAAAAATGAGCTGACACCAGGAGCTCAAGTGAAAAGTGGGTGTCATAAGAATGATGAAGTCAACATATGTACTAAAGTGCTGGACACAGATTGTGATGAGTTGTATGAGCCCCTAATAAAATGATTATTTTAAAAAATGGTAACCTTGTTTCCTCTCCTCTAAAATGGATCTTACCTAGACTCCATTGTGTTCTGATGTCCTTTGTCCTGCCAGCACCTGCAGCTCAGTCGAGTGAGTGACCTCTTCCAACTCCATCCTCCCACTGGAGTGTAGTCAATCCAATGTGGGCAGGAATTAAAGACTGGGAAACTAACATCTCTAGAAGCATCTCTCAACTGATGATGGACAGGTATTGGTTAATAAATATTAGAGATTTCTTGTGTACCAGTTGAGACAACTCTCAGGCATAAATCATTCCCAGTCTGAGCCACAGGCACCAACAGTGATAATCTGTTCATGACTATTGCCTTCCTTCCCTTCTTTGTCTCACTCACTTCTCGGTTGCCCGATAGTGTTTCTGGGTTCACTTCTGAAAAAAATTTATTTTTCTGAAAATGATTATCTCAGTGTCTATTCCCTAGAGAGCCTGAGCTAAAACAAAGGCATTTCCCAATCTGGCTCTCAAAAACTTTTAACTTCTTTGCTTGCATCTCAGCATCAAGTGTCTATTACTTAATGCTCCATTGTCCAAGCAGAGCCTGTTCGGATACTCTGTATCTTTCTAAGGGCTTCCCTCTCTACTAGACGCCCTTCAGTGCCCATCTGCCTAGTCTGCTGTCTGGATCTCCATCAATTGTCATTTTGTCTGGGGTGGATTTCGCCTGCTCAGGTCACAAAGGGACTCAAGAAGCTCTGTGGAATGCAAAGGTTCTGGTTCCCTTGTTGACTTTGGGGCATCAGACCTTGACTTCAGTACCAGAGTGATGAAATCAGCCTCCATTGGCACAAAGGGATGAAGGGTTCCTGAGCAATTGCCTAACAACAATTGATTGATGCATGCATGCTAAGGAACTTAACAGAATCTTATCAGGTCCCTTAATATGTCAAGGAGATCAATCTATTGGTGTGTTGTTACAGATGAGCCGGAAGAGAGAAGATGAGGGTATCTTGCGCAAGGGGAGGCAACTGGAACTTTAAATGCCACTCCACAGAAATCCCTGGGGGTAAAAACAGCACAGCACCTCAAATGGAAAGTTTGGAGGTTGAAATCCATTCAGAGGCGCCTCAAAAGAAAGGCCTGGTATTCTACTTCTGAAAAACCAGCCATTGAAAGCCCTGTAGCACACAATTCGACCCTAACTCACCCTGAGCCAATTCCTACTCAACAGCACGTGGTAATCGAGGTGACCAGGGGACCTTCGGCCTGGCAGAATGTGTTATAAAAACCACTAGCTTAGGTATTTGTGACCGCTGGGCTTTCCTTTATGAGCAGGCAAAGTGTTATGTCAAAACCTCCTTTGCTGAAAGGCCCAAAGAAAAAGCAACTAAAAGCAGTGGTTGAGACGCATGCTAGTAAAGATAATCTCATCCATGTAGTCGGTGAAGGGAATACAGGTCTTTGACAGATTACAGCAAGACCTTAGCAGGGTTTATTCCTTTGGAAGAATAGTTTTCAGCCATCACTGAAGTGTTCAGGGTAAACCAGTCTCAATTTAGAAACCCTTAGACGGGAGGGAAGCAATAGGCTTTGGGCAGCCCTTCCGAAAGAACTGTCCAAAAAGTAACAATAGCTGCATTCCTTCCTGCTGCTTTTAGGAAAGCCGTATTGTCTTACAGGAGCACTTAATCACAAGCTGTTAACTAGTCACCTAGTTGACAATGACTCCTGGCAACTCTGTGTGTCAGAGTAGAACTGTGCTGCACGGGCTTTTTCATTGGCTGATTTTTCGGAAGTTTGATCTCCAGGTCTTTCCTTCAAGTTACCTCTGGCTAGACTCCAATGACCACCTTTCCATTTCAACCAACCATTTGTACCACCCACTGATTCCAATGCATCTGTAGCATCCTGGCTTTTCCCCCTTACTCAAAAGTGGTTATAACAGTCCATTCCTAATCTAAGATTATACTGTGGTTACCAATCAGGATCAAGTAAAGGGGGAGAGAACCTCTTAGAAGAGATCTCTGCCCAAATTAAAGTCCTCAGGATCAAAACAATCCAGAGGGCTCGTGTGCAAGTGACCAGTCAGTTCCAGGCGTAACAAGGACAAGGAGCAGCATGGGTGGTGCCCGGCACCTGCAGTCAGGGATTAAGAGAGGGTGGCTGTGACTGGCTATGTTGGGAGTGGAGAGCTTGCTTTCCACACTGCACCAGGTATCACACACGCCCCTGCGAGGGGCCAAGCCGGAAGTTTCTATCAGATATTTCCCTGTCTAGAATAATGCATTTTTAAAGAGGAGCTACATTTTCAGGGTGAGGTACATTTGGGGGTTAATAAACAACACCGCCTCCATGGCACCTTCTTTTTCTTCCAACAGGACACATGAATGTAATTCACTGAGTTGAGCTTGGGCCTCAACCAGCTCCACCTGACTTGTGATCTTAAAACAACCTGCTCTCTCTCCTGGGTGGATACCGATTCCCCAGGATAAATGAGGGAGGGAGGATGGCATGTGGTTTCCTGAGCAGCTTCTCATTTCCCAACAGTGAAGCTACCTGTTTGGCTGCTTTAGTTTGCTTCCGGAGCAGGTGAACTCACCTTTGCTTCTCTGTGCCAAGAAACAGGCCATCATGTGGCAATAGAATGGTTAAGAGTTGGACAACTGCCTTTTCCGAGTACACCCAGATGCATTTGTAATCCTGAGTTCCTCTCTACACAAACCCATCAAAATCTATGTTTTAAGGAGATCAAATTTTTAAGAAGGAAAAAGCAGTAAAAATGTTTTGTTTCAAAGATGACTGCTGTGTGCAACATCAAATCACACTTTATCTTGGAAAGAAATGCCTGCAATGTCAAGTGGCAAAGAAAGTCTGGCTTACCATCATGCTGTGAACCATACTGCTCCACTAACCACCACAGAAAATCCAGCTTTCAAGCAGAGACTTTTCTCATATGCCTGGGGAAATGCCACCCACACTATACAGTAACGTTAGCAAAATTTACTTTCACTTCCACTTTGTTTTATAAAGTATACTGTATGTAGCATGTTGTCATTGACCAGGTGAAGAGGTTAAGCCTTCACATATGTGCCTCATAAAAAGTTTGAGAGAGAGAGAGAGAGAGAATGAGGGTGAATTAATTTAGTATGTATATATCGAGCTGACAGAATTTGAAGTTGTGTTTTCTTTATTGTGTGGAGGCTCTGTCTCTTTAATCCATTCAGAAGCTTTTTAATAAACAGGTGTTTGAAACTGCCTGAAATGAGTCAAAGCAATAAAACATTTCATGAAAGGGAATTTGGGTTAGGACAGCTTCCAATACCATTTCAAAGAAATACCGAACTGTTCAAGGAATTTAGAGGAAGGTGATTAAGTCTTACCTGGGTTTCCTTCATGACCCCGTTCTTCCTGCCGTCTCCACTTTGTGAGCCGTGGCTCTGTGTTTTGTGGGTGTGAAGATTCCCATTGCAAACAGCACCACCTCCAGGATTAGCCATTTGTGTGAAATGATGAAGCCTTCAGAGGATCCCTGCACGTTTTTAAGTTGGTAAGAATATGGGATAAAACACTTGAGGGCCAAGCCCTTTAAGGAATCCTACCAATCAGGCTTTTCCAGGAGAAGAGAAACAGCCTATCTTTCTGCCAGATCTTTGAAATGAAAAACAAAAGGTTACCTTTGCACTCCTAACTCCAAAGAGTCATTAAAGAAGGTGCCCTTGCTGGCTCCTGGTGAGGAATGAAGAAACCAGTGCAAACTGTGAGGAGGCAGACTGGGAGGAGGAAACTGGTTTGTTGTTTTTTTTTTAAAGACACATGCGTGTCTTTAAAGACACAAGGTACACCTCTCAGAGTCTTTAAAGAAGGTCTGTTCAGAATTTACACCTGCCCACTAATCTCAGCCTTGGTTGTCAATCGAGTTCAAAAGTCAGTATTTCTTTTTGCAGAGAAATAACCTTCATAACCTCTCTAACTTTAAAATCAGTAATGTAATGAGGGGTACTCTCATGTGGGAGATCGAATGGTTTGTTCTGGTCATGATATCATTCCATTTCTCATGAACTTTGGAGGAGTTATTCACGGTCATTTGATGCCTGAGAAAAATTATTTGAAGGCCTGAAGGTGTAGTCATAAAATAGAACTTCCACATCTGAGACAAATACATCTTGAAGAACAGAAGGTATAGTAATAACAGAATGGTGATGTGCATGTGTTACTGACACAGGTGTGTAAAACAGATGGTGCCCGCAAGGTTTAGTCCAGAAACACCTCTGGTGTATTCATTAACCCTTACTCTTGAAATGCACTAGTCATCAGACATCTGTTTTCATCATTAAATGCTAGTGTGGTGACATGGGCAGCTGAGGAGTGTCAAACATTGATAGCTGGTTTGAGCCCTCCAAACCCAATTTCATGGTTCCCCTGAATTGAAACATTTTTAATATCATATAACTAGAGAAGAAACCCAGCCCATGAGCAAACACCAACAGCATCCAGCACAAAACAGAAATTACCTCCTTTATGCTGCCCTATCAGTCTCTACCGGCCTTCCTTGGTCTGAGGACTTTAACCGATCCTGTAAACGTGTCTAACAATGTAGATGTCCCAAATCATGGTCCCATTCAAGCTTCTGTAGTCTCACCTATAACTGCGATGTATTGATCTGCCACCATTCATGGCTTTTGTGACAGTCCCTCCTCATATGTATCTTGCTCTCAATTATGAATCCACTTTAACCCCGTGTTTGTGGCATCCCTATTCTGGATGATATATAACTGTGCTTTTGTGTTGTCTTCATCTCTTTTAAGACTTAATAAATGTTTCCTTTAAATTATATTTCAGATGAGGTCTCTTTTGTACTCTAAAACTGGAGTTGGGAGCTAAACTTGTATTGGTTTACTTCTTTCTAATATTAGTGCAAAAAAAAAGAGGTATAAAAAAGCCCTAATTACTGTTGTCTGAATTCGTTAGAAAAACACATGTGTTAGGCTAGATTCTTTCCAGTGATGTGAAAAAATATATATATGAAATTTATATCAATAAAATGACACACGGTTGAAGAAGGGTGAAGGTAAGTCCACTCAAGTTCAAGTCTAATTGTCAGATGTTAAACTGGAGGTTCTGCCCTGTCCTGTAGATACAGGGGTTGATAAATCAGGAAGCAGGAGAGGCAAAAAGGAGGAGGGAAGACAACCCCAGATGCAGGAAGATCACAGGTTGGTGGAAACAGAGGCAGATGAATCTGATAGGCAAGAAACTTAGGAAAAGGAGCTCTCCCCCAAATTTCCACCAATCAGCACAAATCAAAGGATTCTTCCTCTATGGGGAAAGATGTAATGGCCAGTTCTGTCATATGCACACTTATGCATGCCGACTCAAAGCCTGAGCATGTGCGGTACGGACCAGTAATGTTATACTTCACACATCAATTGGAGCACACACACTAATCGCCCACAACCATGCTCTCTGAGTGGATGTGGTAGGAGACCAGTAGTGGAGAAAGAGTATAAAGGATCAAGAGCTTTAAGATCACATGTCTCTCCATGCTTTCTGTAGGTGGCCAGTTCTTGTCTCTGAGAAAGTACTAGAAGGTGAAATCACAGACTTACAAGTCCTCCCCCCATCTTCTGGATGTGTCCTGTTCTTATCTCGAAGAACATACTATGAAAAACTTTGCTTTTGAGAGTGTGAGGAGAGATTGGAACTTGCATACCTCACTGGTAGGAATGGAAACATGTACAACTCTTGAAGAAAGTTATGTGGAACTTCCTGAAGCAAGTAGGAATAGAAATACCATGCCACCCAGAAATACCTGCATGGGGCACATAAACAGACATATATGCTCTCCCATGCCCATGGCACTACACGTCACAATAGCAAGAAGCTGGAAACAGCCCATATGCCCCTCAATTGAAAAATGGATAAAGAAGCTGTGGTACCTATACACAATGGAGTACTATACATCCCTTAAAAACTGGAAACCACAAAGCACTTAATGATATAAACAGATCTGGAAGCCATTGTGCCAAGTGAAATAAGTCAATCACAGAAGGAACAAACCACTACTATAAGGATAAAAACCAAGACTAAGACAGTCTCCAATTCTCAGGCCATGTAATCTTCTAATCTATTCCCCCAAGGGAGGAGGTAGTGCCTATCTAGTTACCATAAGCCATATACTACCCCTTTATTAGAACATGTTAAAAACTACTTCATTCCAGATGTGATCAGTTTCCCACGTTATGGGGAGAGGGAGAAGGCCAACAAATCCCTGCCATATAGCAGCGTCCTATGGTTACCCCAAATCAACAGACAGCACTACAAAAGTAATTAGTGAAGCTTACTGAGAAATAGGATCAAGAGTGAGGGCGGGGGTGAACATGTCTGTATCAGAGAAAGCAATTGCACTTCAGATGATGGGTAAGATGGGTAAGGTACCTGCCAATGCTTAACATTATGTATAAAACCCAGAGAGAGACTATCCCTGACATTATGTTCCTAACTAGACACCTTTGACCTAGTTGCCAACCAACACCTGGTAACCCAGGCGGTGCCATATAGGCAACTGGGGCATTGAAGACTGTTCTTTGAGGATGCACAACATCCTTCTTAGACCACACTGGAAGGACCAAATTTGGAAATCTCCCTGGGTGAAATGGATTCTGCTTTGAATTAACTTATAGCAGAACTAAGAAATGAAATTATTCCCTTGAACTCTGTCCTGTCCTTTCCTGTTGAGGGAAGAAGCAGATAATCACTCTCCCAAGGTTAGGGAATTGGTGGGCATTGGACTATAAGTGGGTTCAGACCTACTGCTTTAAGGACGCCTAACGAATCTGATACCAATATATAGTCACTGTTTTCAAGCTCTCTATGCCTTTTTGTGATGTGTATTAGTCTCCCAGGTGTGGTCCTCCCTTCTTAAATGAATGTAACTGAAAGTATTGACATATCCCCAACCCTCAGGGCTTGTATAATTAGGGTGCATGCATCCAATTATTGAAGATGTCCAAGTTAACAATTCATTTATTAGATATTAATAAAATTCCCTACACACTTTGGGCAAAAATCCTTTTCCCAACAGTATTTTACCATTCACTATACTAATTTATCATTAATGCAATTACCTTAAGTCCCAGGGGATGATCTATGATGTACTGCAACAAAATGATAAACATGTACCCAAAATCGAATCATGGACATATAGAAACAATAGCTATATGAATGGATTTTAAGATCTCACTTGATCTCAGCCTGAATAAAGGAACAATTTATTCTGGTGACATGGCCCTGCCTGGCACTTGTCCTCATGAGATAACTGAAGATATGGCTGTCAAACGAAAGTGTGATGAAGAAATCAGGAAAAATAGCATCCGGGATCTTACAGGCTTGTCACAAAACAAGCAGCCACCGAATTGAAGAGTCAGCTAAGGCCACAGAGGAGAAGCACACAAGCATGTGTGATCCCAGGATGGTAAACAATAAGATCCAAACCCATAGGAGAGAATGTTAACAGTACCTCAATCTAAACACCAGGTTTGGGGAACCCTATAGATAATAGTGGAAACCCAAAATTCATTTTCAGGGTCCCTTACAAGGATTGAATCCCCAAGTATATTGCCACTGTCCACAGACTAGGAATGTGAACAGCCCCAATATCAGACAAATTGCATTGTAAAAAGGTTCTTAGCAACTATACTTAGACTGGAAAAATAACATCTTTCCATTAGAACTCCCTTTGGAACCACTTTCAATTTATCCTAAATTGTCAATATCATTTGTTTCTTCTTAAATGAAGATATTATACTCAAAGCCTTTCATTATTTGGTGATGTAAAGGAAAATATCAAATTAGTAATGGCCCTTTGGTGTTATCTAAAGACCTTTGGGTCTTCTTTTGATTGGGCAGGCAGAAAGTAAAGTAAAGGAGTAGTGGTGGGTAAAACAGGAAGGTTCAGGGATCCTGACACAATTCTGGGAATCATGTATAGGGTTGAAAAGTTTGCAGAAAAGGGACAAAATGTAAAATAAATAGATACATTGTACATTATCTGGAAATATCTACCTCTCCAGCCTCCCACCGTGCCTTCCTCTTTAACTATATAAGGGAGGATGATACTAATAAGAAAAAAATTTTTCTGAGTTGCTAATTGACTTTTCCAGGCACAAGAATAATATTTGGTTGAAGTGGTTTAAACTCAAAAAATCCCTGCTTCCCTTTCCCTTATAAAACTAGTAATTTTTCCAGCGGTTGACTTGAAGACAATAAACCATGAAAAATATCAACCATAACTATTATGATTTGAGGTATTTAAAAAAAATGATCCAAATAATAAATGAGAATACTTCACTTTGCATTCCTGTGATCTACTAAACAGGAGCAAAGATCAAAGGACATGTTAAGCTACAGACAAGTTGGAGATTCTCCCTAAAGAAATACTTAAAATCCCTAAAAACAAATTGTCAGGAAAAATTCTCAATATAGAGAAAGTTCAGTTTCAAAGATTTTCTAATGAATAGATTTTCTCTTTCGTTCAGAACACTTGCTGGTAGGATTGCAATGTTATTTGAAGTTGGGCAAAAACTTGTTATTGATGACTACCACCCCATCTCTGGCAATGGTGGAATAATTGCTTTTCTTCATGATATAATCCTCA